ACACCAATTTACCATCCATATCTCAACAGTCATTGCAGCTGATAAAGGGGTACACAGTGTTTCCTTCCGTCCTCAGCAACACCAAACCAGGAACCACAAAGTGATTCCTGAAAATTGTGGTTTCTTGGTGGTACTGTACTAGACCATAAGGGTGACATCCAGAGTTATGATGGAAAAAGGATCACTTTGTTAAGTGGGGGACACATTCATGACATAACGGGAAGGACAATGGAGGTGTTAGCCTTTCAGCCTTGGCTTCCACCCTCTGGAGTCCCCACAGCTGGAACAAAGAACACCCAGATACCGTGACGGTGAACACAGATCGAGTTATTTTTAACAAATCCCACAAACATAAAATCAGTCATTACTGGAGTTTCAGGAATCTTCCAGATTCAAACGTGCTAACTGACGGTCAGTATCCCCAGGTATGGGATGTGAGCATAGTTGTTACCATAAATATAAATGAAAGTAAATCTAAAACGTGAAGATTTTAAGCACAAAGGCTTAACACTTCATACACGAAAACCAAAACTGTAGTGGCTGTCGGTGCCTTTGTTATAGCCACTAGGATGCTAAGGACAACTTGGGAATGGCAGCCCATCAGCAGGACTGAGCTAAGCAGCCGTGACCGGGGCATGCTTCCTCACAGCGGTGTGTAAACCCGCGTGGATACGAGCAGGCTGGGGCATCGACAGGTGCAATGCTCACAGCTGTGTGCAACAGTGCACGGGGCTGGGCTGATGGTGGACAGGCTCTCATATTGTCTGGTGGGCTGGTGCAATGGTCAGCCCTCTGGGACCATTTTTCCTCATCTGTAATTACAGGATAATCTTAAATCTGTTCAAGCTGAGGCTTCCAACTGGTCACATGGCAGGGATTTGGATAAACTTAAAGCATGTGAGAGCTTAGGAATAAATGACTCTTTTGCAAATACACTTTGCTCACTCATCTATTCCATCTCCGAGATTCCAGTGTCGTGACTAGAATCGTGGGTGGTGATAAATTGGTTTCACCAGAAAAACTGTTGCATGAAACTCTGGGTACCTTCAGATGCCTTCCGGAAATTTTGTCAGAAAACATTTCGGAAGTTCACTAGACGCATGCAAGAATCTTTTCGTGAATGCTTTGACAAACAAAAAAACCACAGGCACAATTCATTTTATGCTTTGATTTTTTGCACTTCACAGATATTGCATTTTTTCTTTTCTTTTTTTTTTTTTTTGAGTCGGAGTCTTGCTCTTGTTGCCCAGGCTGGAGTGCAGTGGCGCGATCTCAGCTCACTGCAACCTCTGCCTCCCCGGGTTCAAACGATTCTCCTGCCTCATCCTCCGGAGTAACTGGTACTACCGGTGCCCGCCACCACGCCTGGGTAATTTTTTGTATTTTTAGTAGAGACGAGATTTCATCGTGTTGGCCAGGCTGGTCTTGTTCTGGTGATCCACCTGCCTCAGCCTCCCAAAGTGCTAGGATTACAGGTGTGAGCCACCACGCCTGGCCCACAGATACTGCATTTTTTTTTTTTTTTTTTTTTTAACAAATAAAGGTTTGTGGAAACCCTGTGTGGAGGAAATCCAGTGGGGCCATTTTTATCGTAACGTGCTTACTTTGTGTCTCTGGCACATTTGGCAATTCTTGCAATAGTTCAAACTTTTTCATGGTATCTGTTATGGTGATCTGTGATCAATGATCTTTGATGTTACTATTAATTGCTTTAGGCCCCAAATGGGTTGTTCTCCCTCTCTTCAGACCTCCCTATTCCTTGAAACATAGTAATATTGAAATTTGACCAATTAATATTCCTACAATGACCCTAAGGGTTCAAGGGAAAGGGTCACATGTCTCTCACTTGAAATCAAAAGCTAAACATGATTCAGCTTAGTGAGCAAGGAATGTCAAAGGCTGAAACTGGCCACAAGCCAGGCCTCTTGTGCCAAACAACCAAGTCGTGAATGCCAAGAAAAAGTTCTTGAAGGGAATTAAAAGTGCTTCCCCGGTGAACACACTAACGATGAAACACGGTAATAAGTGAAACAGCTTTATAGCTGATAAGGAGAAAGTCTGAATCGTCTGGATACAAGGTAAGTCAGACACAACATTCCCTTAAGCCAAAGCCTAACACAGAGTCAGGCCCTAATTCCATTCAATTCTATGAAAGCTGAGAGTGGTGATGAAGCTCCAGAAATAGATTCTGAAGCTAGCAGAGGTTGGTTCTGGGGTTTAAGGAAAGAAGCTGTCTCCACAGCATAAAAGTGCAAGGAGAAGCAGCAAGTGCTGATGCAGAAGCTGCAGCAAGTTTTCCAGAAGCTCTGAGATCACTGATGAAGATGGCTACACTAAATAACAGATTTCCCATGCGGACAAAACAGCCTTCTATTGAAAAAAGATGCATTCAGGACTTTTGTAGCTGGAGAGGAGAAGTGAATGCCTGGCTTCAAAGCTTCAGAGGACAGGATGACTCTCTTGTCACGGGCTGGTGCAGCTGGTGACCTTAAGTTGAAGTTAATGTTCATTTACTTCTGAGAATCTTCAGACTTTTAAGAATTATGCGAAATCAACTCAGGCCGTTTTTTTTGAGACGGAGTCTCGCTCTGCCACCCAGGCTGGAGTGCAGTGGCCGGATCTCAGCTCACTGCAAGCTCCGCCTCCTGGGTTTACGCCATTCTCCTGCCTCAGCCTCCCGAGTAACTGGGACTACAGGCGCCCGCCACCTCGCCCAGCTAATTTTTTGTATTTTTTAGTAGAGACGGGGTTTCACTGGGTTAGCCAGGATGGTCTCGATCTCCTGACCTCGTGATCCGCCCGTCTCGGCCTCCCAAAGTGCTGGGATTACAGGCGTGAGCCACCGCACCCGGCCTCAGGCCGTGCTTTATAAATGGAACAACAAAGCCTGAATGACAGCACATATGTTTACAGCATGACTTACTGAATATTTTAAGCCCACTCTTGAGACCTACTGCTCAGAAAAAAATCATTATCTTCAAAATATTATTGCTCATTCACAATGCACTTGGTCACGCAAGAGATGAATGTTAACACAACATCCATTCTGCAGCCCATGGATCAAGTTATAATTTTGACTTTCAAGTAAGAAATCATTTCATTAGGCTGTATCTGCCATAGATAGTGGTTCTTCTAATGGATTGAGGCAAAGTAAACTGAAAACCTTCTGGAAAGAATTCACCACTCTAGATGCTATTAAAATATTTATGATCCATGGGAGCAGGTCAAAATATACACACTAACAGGAGTGTCTGTTAAAAAAAGTTGATTCCTGCCCTCTTGGATGACTCTGAGGGGTTCAAGACTTCCGTGGAGGCAGTAACTTCAGATATAGTGGAAATAGCAAGAGAATTAGAAGTGGAGTCTAAAGATGGGACTGAACTGCTGCAATTTCATGATCAATCTTGAAAGGATGAGGAGTTGCTTCTTGGGGATGAGCAAAGCAAGTGGTTTCTTGAGATGGACTCTACTCCTGGTGAAGATGCTGTGAACACTGTTGAAATGACAACACAGGATCTAGAATATTCCGTAAGTTGATGTGATAAAGCAGCAGCAGGCTTTGAGAGGACTGACTCCAATGTTGAAATAAGCAATTCTGTGGGTAAGATGCTATCAAACAACATCCCTTGCTACAAATAAATCTTTCATGAAAGACTAAACCAATGCGCTAAGCTTCATTTTGTCTTGCTTTCTGAAATTGACACAGCCACCCCAACTTTCAACACCACCACCCTAATCAGTCAGCAGCCATTAACATCAAGACAAGACCCTCCACCAGCAAAGAGATTACAGCACACTGAAGGCTCAGATGATCGTTCACTATTTTTAGCAATAAAGTATTTTTAAATTAAGGTATGTACATTTTTTAGACATAATGCTTCTGTGCATGTAATAGATCATAGTATAATGTGAACACAGCTTTTATATGCACCGGGAAACCAAAAAAATTGTATGACTTGCTTTATTGAGATAGTCACTGATTGCAGTGGTCTGGAACTGAGCCCACAATGTCTCCCAGGTATGCCTGTATTTATGTCATTTGACATATAATCTTGCACGCCAGAAACAGGTATTAAGTGTTAATAACAAAAAGCAATAGGAATGTTTCAATGCATTCTACATATTATTAAAACAAGATACATATGGTTAACTTTTGCTAGTTTTGCATTAGGCATTTCATTTAAATTAAAATCGGTATATGGCACTCATTCCCTGGTGACAGAAAAGCACCTAATTTGTCTTTTGTTGATTGAGGAGTGTTCATCCCATGTTCATAAACATTCCATGAAAGCAGCTCAATTTCTCATTCTAATTTTGAAATGATTTGGCAATTTTAACAACATAATATTTAATTTTTCCTTAATATTTCATTATTCTCCTTATACAGACGAGTAGTATTTTTTCCAGGCCCTATAGAGACGCCCTCGAATCCATTCCAGTTTCCTTTAGAGCAGCATCTTCTCTCCCACCCAACCACAGCCTGAGGTGCTCAGCAATTATTACATGTCATCCCTGACTTCTGGCCCCAGAGCCCCACATGGCTCAGCTCTGAAAAGGGAGTGTCTGTCTTCTGTGCACTGTGCCCTCCTGACCCGCGTTCTTGCTTCTGGAAAAGCAGCTGCCTGTCACAGACACCTCGCTGTGTGAGCTGCTTGTACATACCTCTCTGACAAAGAAATGTCCTTCTCCACAGCACAAAAACTGCAGGAGGCATTTAGTTGCCAGAGGTTTTTCCCAAGAGCTCACTCCCACCTGTCAAAATTCAGTCAGGTTAAAGCATCCTAGCTACTTTGGAAAACGAAGTCAACTTTATCTAATACCTTATTTTTAGTAATGTTTTCACATTTAGTCACAAAATCATTAGTGACTAGGACAGTTCTGGGGCTTTTTCCTGGACCTACCTCCTTCCCTTCTCAGGCTTTGGATCTCACCTGGAAAAGTTTTAGCCTCATGTACTGGTTTCAATTAAAAAAAAAAAAAAAAAAAAAAAAAAGCCATTCTCCATTTGAAAATGTGACCCATTTATTTGAACTGAAAGGCATCATTACAAAGTGCAAACATTTCTTTGGTAATGAACTGAATACAATGGTCATAAAAAAGGCATTTGGCTGTTGGAGCAGTTAGAAAAGTAAATAAATATGTACATTCCACTCCCGTTACAGCGATCCCGCAGAGGGGCTGCTAGACACGTTCACCCAGGCACTGCCCACTGTTCTGATTACAGAGAGTATCAAACCGGCGATTCCGCAGACATTTTGGTTTGAATTACAGAATTTTTTTTTTGGTAAATAACAGTCAGCTTCCCCCTTTGGCTTAGACAACACAATTGCTTGTCACTGGCCCAGACCGCACATTACACAGGTGTGCTACAGGTGTGCCACCTCAGCACTGAGACCGCAGAGGCCTCCAAGGCACGTAAGAGGCACAGAACACTCGAGAACCCAGAATCCGCTGTCATCCGAGTGCCTCAGCAACTTACATAACCGTCAGTTTTTAGACGAACTTACACATTTCCTGTTTTACAGAAATCTCTTCCACAATTCGGTCACTACATTTGACTTGCTATTTCAAAAGAAGTCCATATGTCATGAAACGCCAACCAATTTTATCACTCATTTACCAATTTGAGGATAAGAAGTCAAGACAACCATTTTTACAGATAAAACCCATGAATCCAATGACCCTCCTCACAGCTGAAATGCTGCCTCTGCCACAGCAACGTAGCAGGCTCGTGCTGGAAGGGTCTGGGTGTCTCCTTGGGAGGACATGCTCCTGGAACACGGGCCGCGCACGAATCACACTAGGCACTGTACGCACCCACCCTGTCCGAAGGCAGCCGGCCTCCCCCACCCCATGGAAGCCTCAACGTCATACCCCAGTGCTGGACACCTGCCACCCTGAACTGAAACGGCTGTGACCTCAGGGGCTTCCGCCTCCACCACCTCAGCTGGGCCGCACTGAGGGCAGGTGGCCCGGACCTTGGTGCCTCATGTGTCCAGCACTATGCCCGGCACACGGTGGGTACTCAGGTCAGCGTGCTGCACTGAAGCTGTGTGTTCGGGGAAATGTTGCGCAGAACACAGATCGCTTTGTATTTAGAGAAAAATGGAAGGTTTTGGTCAATTAAAGAGAGACCATGAGGTATGAGAGTTGATTTTCACTGACTTCTAAAAGAACTTTTGCATAGTGGACAATGGTTTTTCTGTCATATCTAATACTTAAAAACTGGACAAAATTTCATAAAACATCATGCATTTTAAAAATACAAATGAGGTATAGGGATTCTTCTTTTTTTTTTTAACGCACTCACACAACCTGAAGTTAGACAGTTCCCGACACTCGAGCTCCTCTTCCCTTGGGAAAAGCCATCGGAGGCGGCTCCTGTTCAGGACGTGGACACAACCAGGGCCGGCTGGGGGCGGTGCTGTCAACGCACGGGCCTGGCCCTCGGCAGGTATCAGATACACAATGGGATGAAGGAGGATTTTCACATTTGGTTCACAACTAGGCAGTATGTATGCAAGTGACAGCTGAAAGCAAACCTGTTTCTAAATGTGGCTTATGAATGATCTAATCAAGTGTGGAAGGAGCTGACACACGGACAGTCACAGGCTATACAGCTGCTTCGAGCAGCGGGAATGTTGGTCTTGGGATTAGATGCTGACACGCGGTGAAATGTTACAGAGAGCCCAGAGGAAGGAGGAGTTCAGAGGTTCCCAGGGAAGAGGCCGGGGGCTCGCACTGCAACCCCAGACAGTGTCCCTGTGAACACTCTTATAAAAGGTTCTGTTCCATTTGCCAAACACCAATTCTCTTTTTAAACATAGCTTGTGAGGGAACCCCGATTTCGGTGAGCCCCTCTGGCAGCTCCGAGACTCACCCCACCTGCGGGTGACAGGTCTGCCGGCTCCTGGCATCTGAACAAGGTAAGGCTGACGTGTAGAGGTATCCTGCTTTATTTAAAAAGAAATGGTGTTGGGAGGCAAAATCAATTTAGGCGCCTAAATGATTCAACTGTGCAATTTAATAATAGCACCAATTTTTCATTGTAAAAGAATTAAATAAAAACCTGAGAAGTCTAACGTGAAGCTAGGACTCCTGCCTGCTTCCCTTCGGGCACCTGCTCCGCCTCCTTCTCCACAGATGCTCCAGTTGGAAGCCTCCTGCACTGCCTTCTGTAACAGCACCAGCTGGACGTTGTCATGAAATGTCGCGAGTTCTGGGTGTTTCCTGGTCCGCAGCCTGCAGCTCCCTGCCGTCGGCCACCTGATCTCACGATGGCACCGCAGACAAACTCCGAGGAGCCTCCCAGGAGCCTAGGGCTTCTCCTCCGCCCTCCTCTGTAAGCAGACTGGACAGCAGGCCCCTGGGATGTTCGTGGGGACAGCACAGGTGGCAGGGGGGCAAGCTTCCACGAAGCAGGTGACCTGCCCGTCCTGGAGAGGAGAGACGGAGCACAGCCTGTCAGCTCCGGGATGGCCTTCAGGTGAACACAGTCTGTCAGCTCCGGGACAGGTGTCAGCCACGGCCATGAGTCAGGCCTTGCCCTGAGGCCCCTGCCTTGCCCACTGTGCTCGCCCTGTGGGCATGGGTTTTGTGGTTCTCTGAGGATTTCATAGTTGCAGACAGGTATGAGTTAATGGGAGCCCCCATAACAAGTCTCCCTGAGGCTCCGTCCCACCTTTCTGTCCATGCCCACCATCCTCTCACCCTGAGGGGTCAAGACCACCAGCTGGGCACATCCTCCCACCTCACACCTGGATCCCCTCGGACTGCGTCTGGGCGTGGACGTTGTCAGGAAGCAGGATGGGACTAGACAGAGAGGAAGGGACAGGGCTTTGCTCTTCCCCAGTCTGCCCTTCCCAAACCTGACCAGCTCAGGGATACAGATGCGCCCTCTCCCAATGGCCATGGCAAGCGAGGTGCCCGGGCTGGCCTGCTGTCCTCACCATCCTGCCTCCTCACACTATGCCCTGAGCTTTCCACGGAGCCTGGCTCCAGCCAGACGTCTGTCCACTGCCGGCACCAGGGCACGCTCCACCTGCCACCAGTCTCCTTCTGCAGGGGAGGCATCGTCCCCCCGCGACCTCTGTAACACCCCCAGCCCTGATGGGAGATGGGACAGGGTCAGCGGCGGGCACGTCAGTGTTCACCCACCAGCTCTGCAGGGAGGAGCTGATCTGCCCCACTCACGGGTTTCCATGGCACGAACATTCCTGCCACAGCTGTTGGGAGGTGAGGCCAGTGCACACAAGCAGCCCCACGTGGCCCCGCAACAGAGTAGGGGTTTCCCGCCCTCTGTGGGGTGGACCATGCTGAGGTTCTGAGCCTCCTAGCACGTCCTCTGTGCACAGAGAGCTGGGCTTGCCTGGTGCTTCCATAGGAGTGAAGGAGGGACGAAGGCCAGCAGAGGTGGGCGGGGAGGGGCCTGGCCCTGACATCTGGGCCACCCACCTGAGTGGTCACATGGGACTCTCGGACTTGGGTATACCTTAGGGCGTGAAGACAGACCCCATACTCACTTTGCATTCACAAATGGTGCATGCATCCTTCTTCCACTTGGTGTTGTTGGCGTGAGACTCACCCCCGGCATCCACGCACTCTGTGGTACTGAGCCGTGATTCAAGTTTCTTTATCTGCAGCAAAGCGAAGAACATTCATTCACGGGCCACTTCAGAGTAACAGCTTAGTTCTTGTATTAAAATATGTTATAAATATGTTATAAAATATGTTATTTCCCTGAAAATAAACAACAAATGCCTTAAAATAAACAACATTTGAGGAGAATATTTCTCAAGAACTTTTACAGAATCTCCAATGTCCTTATTAGACTGGCGACGGCTGGCCAAAAGCCCCAGTGGAAGACGTTCCCACCACCGTGCTGTCAAATAAAAGCCTTGGTCACAAAGGTGACGTTCTCAGAGGACTGTGGGAGCAAGATTCGACCAGAGGACAAGAACGTCCTGCACCTACGCTTCCACCAGAATGGACGACGACCACTCAGAATCCCCCGAGTCAAGTCTGCCTGTTTTCCGAGTACCACCACCACTGGCTTTTCTCTGGAAGCACGGGGCCCCATAATAAGGTGCCCTTTCCAACCGCCGTGCCAGGCACCGGGTGGCAGGAGCCTCCTGGAAGGGTCTCCTTCCTCAGACCCTCTCTTGCATCTTGCAGGGCCCGGGGGCAGACAGGGTGACAGTGGCCGGAAATGTCTGGGCCACGAGGTGACCTTGGGAAGAGGCCACCCGCAGCACAGCACCGAGCCGCAGCAGGGAGTGACAGAAAAACTCGCACCTCATTCAAACCATCCGGATTTGGGGTTTTCTGTCCCCTGCAACGGAACCTAAACTGTCAGTGATGTCTGAAATGAACACAAATTATTTATCGTATCTATCCCAATTCCTCTAATAAGCCTTCTCATAAAGCATGTTCAGCCACAGGTAAGGCTGTCTGCTTTGACCGATCAACGATGCTGGCTGTGAGCCACCCACTCACTCATTTCAATTAAAACGTCTTCTTTGATTTCCTGTCAGCCAGAAGTGTGTCGTCCCCAACCTGTGCCGGAGCAGTGTCTCACCTGTGCACACATCATGCTGAAAAAGGTGGACGTCCCCTCACCGTACCCTCTGCATTTTGTGACAGCTGGACATCTAGAACCTAACTAGTTACTCACTTCGGGAAATGCCTCAGATGCGGCTTCTAAATGAAAGCCATCTTTCCTGCCTGCCTCATTCATTAGCAACTGGCACTTAAGTCAACAAAGCTTAGAACTTTCTAGCTTTGGGGATGGGGATGGGGATGGGGATAAAAAAAAAAAAAGAGGGAAGCCTCAGGAGCAGTGGCACAGGGGCCAGAGAGCACTTGGGGGTGGCAGCCAGGACGGTCTGCAGAGGTTCCAGGTGACCTGCATGTCACCTCTGTGTCTGTGGCTGACCTGCTTTAATTCACAGCCAGAGAGAAGCAGTGACCACAGCAGCCTGTGTGCGCCTCAGCAGTCACCAAGATACATGAACGCCTCTGCACACACAGGGTGCGGGGAAATGACCACAGACGGCACACACCCTGTGCTGCTGCCGGCCGCAAAATCACAAGGGACATGCGCATTTCTCAGACCTAGCGCTGCTACCCTGGGAGCTGCCCATTCATTCTGAGGGTGGAAGGAAGTCACAGCACTGTGGACAGAATCAACAACATGGGAGGGCACAGGGCATTGGTATTTGCAGACACAGGTGGGGTGGCTGGTCCCCCTCTGCCTCTGCTCTGCTGTCCAGGGTCACCTGTGCACAAGGCCTGCCCTGAATGACCTTGGGGTTCACAGACCCACCTCCGCAGTGGACCCCTGGGGCACCCAGGCCTCAGCACAGACCCCAAGGGTCAGTCTGGGTTTGTCTCTGCTTCCCTCCTACTGCCAGGTGGAGCTGAGTGAACACTGCACGCTGTCCACTTGGGCAGCTGCCAGGGCTCGTGCACCTGGTCTCTAGGCTGCGGAGGGAGGAAGGCCTGCCCCACACTGTCCACTCTGGCAGCTGCCGGGGGAGATACACCTGGTCTCCAGGCTGCAGAGGCAGGAGGACCTGCAGCTGCAGGGGATGAGGCGGCAGGCATAGAAGCAGTCAGGGTACCTCTCCCTGTGGCTGGGGGTTACCTTGGGGCTACACTAGGAGACGACTCTCCCAAACCTAAGGGCTCAGAGTCCTGTGAGTAGGAAAGGAGCTGTGCTTACAGGTTAACAGTGCTGCAGACAGCCAGGACCCGCGCGCCCTGGGGATCCCACCCACACCAGCGGAGTGATGCACCTCCTTTTATTTAGCCATAGATCTCAATCTCCACCCGCTTATGTAACATCCCAGAGATAACCCCACCACAGGCACTGGAGAAAGCGGAAGACGTTCCTGGGATAGGAAGGACAGGACGGAACTCATTTCTGCAGGATTTCTGCAGAGCCCGAGAAGAGCCCCATCTGAAAATCCCTGTGGTCGTACCACAGACACCAGCACTTTCCTCACGCCGGAGAGGCTGGATCGGGTGTGGAGGACTGAACTGGAAATGCCTCCTTACCACGCCCTGGGAGGGATGATTCCAAGTTATTCCTAAGTAAGAGGCTTAAGAACAGGACTTCATGTTTGAACTCTCCTACAGCACCCTAATCCTGTGTTCTCTCCAGCAAGGTCACCTGGCTGGCAGTCCCACGGCTGTGACACAGATTGCCCCTGCCTGGTGACCCCCATCTGTTGGGAAACCCAGGGACACCAGTGGCACCTGGCCCAGCCCGACCCAGCACGCAGAAATGGCACCCCAAGGCTCCAGGGTCAGGGTCCCGTGTGGGCAGTTGAACAGTCACCTGGGAATAAAGTGGTAGCCCCAGAAGGCTGGGGCAGGGCTGTGCTGCTGTGGAGTCTCAGATGGGCGGACACAGGCCCCAGGCACCTCACCTGTGTTCTGAGGTCTGTGATGGTCTTCTGCATTTCCAGAACAAACTCTCTGAAGTCATTAGTCCCAGGAGTGTCTGAGCGTGTGCTGAAGGCTGAGGTGCTGTTGCTGAGATGTTCCCCGTGTCTCCCAACACTGTGGTGAGGGGAAAGGAGGAGGAGGGAAATATAGTCTCGGCAGGTCACGCAGGGTCTCATTTCAAGGTTTCCTGGGTGTGCACGGCCCCTGATGCTCTGAGCGGGCAGCACCGCAGGACGCAGGCTGCAGCCTGGCCCCCAGTGCCCCGGGACGTCTCTGCCAGGAACCATCCTCACCACAGGCCCACAACAGGATGCCGGTCCTACTGCCCGATGCCCGCGGTGTGAGGGCCCATCTGTACATCAACTGACCTCAGAGACCACCATACCTGGGTATTTTCTGTGGTCTTGTTTTCTTGGTCGGCTGGTCCTCCTGGTAGCTGAACTCAAGAGACCGTCTGCCTCGGAAATGGTAGGAGAAGGCGTTGAACTGCCCCCTGGTCCTACAGTCTAAAACGGCAGCACAAAGCAGAATGTCAGCTCTGGAGGCTCTGACCTCAGGGAATTAAAGCACATCCTGCCAACTACGAACAGTCTTCACTGGCTGCCCGTGGAGCAAACTGTGGCACCTTAAATCAGGCAACCTGGCAGCTGGTCTGCAGCTCTTACCCTCTCCTGCCCTGAGGGGTCAAGCCTCTTTCCGCTGTGCCCCTGCCCTCGTGACCTCACGGCACCGGCCGCGCTGAGGACAGCTGGGCGAACTGAGGAGGCCCACACCACCCACCGCACCACAACCACACCCTCGCTGAGTTCCCTCCACCCACAGATGGAGGCTCAGGCACTCTGCCTCGGAGATCAGAGTCTGCTCATGTCTGGCGGTCCCTCCCCTATGGCCAGGTGACAATCTGCACTCTGGAGTGCCTTGAAGTTACGCTACACTACCTGCATCACACTGCCAGCCCCACTGTCAGACAAGAGGCGGGCCTGGCCCTGCTTCTCCTGAATGTAGCCCAAACGCCTCCCTGCCGAGGTGTGGCTTCCTTCTCAACCTGTGGTGGACTGAGAAGCCCTCAGTGCTGTACCTCACCTGAGCCCCGGGTGAGGGGCCCTCAGTGCTGTGTCCCTCCTGAGTCCCGGGTGAGTGAGGGGCCCTCAGTGCTG